GATACGTTAGGGAGCCGCAGAGTCCGTGGAATCTTGGGGCGATGTGGTCAGTGCTGCACTTTAGGAAAGTCACTTGGGGAACTGAGCTAATCTCCCAGGCTTCTTTGGAGGCACACTCATGTTTTCTAGTCACCCAGATTCACAGCTTCTCTGTCACCCTCACGTTTTCATCTCTCCTTCCCCCTCCTATCATTTAATTAATTAGTTAGCTGTGTTAGTGGGATGATTCAGCCTTCTCCTCCATCCCCTTCTTGCTACTCACACAAGCCCTTTCCCCCATCTTTTCTTCTCCAGACTGTTATACTTGACTCCAAATAGATCTTTCCTCCTTCCATCCATCTTCTCCCACCCACCTTGCACACTGTAGTCTCCAGAGTGAGTTTCCCAAACCACACTGTTTCCCAGCTCCGGAAGTTTCTTTGGCTCCCCATTGCCTCTAGGATAAATCGCCGACTCTTCCTCTTGTCATTTAAAGCATTCATGTATTTAGCGTTCCCACTTGAAGCTTACCCGCCGCTCACTCCGTGCATCTCGCATGTGCCTGGGCTGTCCCTGTTGCTGCCCCTTGCAGGCTCTGGGCTTTTTGAGGGCAGGGGCTCCACAGTATCTGGACATAGAAGTGCTTAGTTGATGAATCTGAAATTGCCCAGCCTGACTTTAACTGTAGCCTTCTCCCCAGATTCCCCAGCACTCTTCTGTGCGCACCTTTGGTTCCAGCCACACCTGTCCACTTGCTGTCCTTGGTCCTTGACCTTTTGTCTCCTGTCTCTGTGCCAGGAGCCCCGGGAGCCCCGCACGGCTTGGCTGACAGGCCTGTCTTGCTGTCGGTGCTGCTAGGGCGCTCCTCTCCTCTACCACCTGGGCTGCTTTTTACTTAGTTGGTCTGTGTTCTTTCCATGCTTAGCTGGGTTTGCTCTGCCTGTGGAATTTATGCCCCTTGAGGGCAAGGGTGGGTTTTGGTCCTTGTTTCTTCAGCGCCATTCCTGGAAGTGGGAGGAGCTTAACACGTGTTGAATTGGATTGGCTATTTTTTATGAGCAGGAATCATTCTTATTTGTTGTTTTTTAATAAACTAATGCAGGTGGTAGAAGTGAAAAGATGGGTAGGTGGCTCACCTTGATTTCGTAGCTCTCCAGGTCTCTCTTCTTTGGTGAGCCCTGCTATCGCAAGTTCCAGGCCTCCCTCATCTTCTCCTTTTCCCGGCTGCTGCCCTCTGTCCACTGTGCGCCTGGCACTGTGCTGGGCTGCACTAGGGCACTGGCCTGGCCTGGCCCGGAGACTCCCTCTGCCTGCTCTCTAAGGGTTTCTAGGAGTTGGAAGAGGATTGTCAGCACTGGAAGGTGGCCTGCCTGACAATTCTTCTTTTTGGCTGTGGCATCTTAGGAAATCTACTTAGGAATCTACTGTGGTGCAGAGGAGTCACAGTCGGCACTAGGGGAGTGGGAGGGTCACATCTTGTGGGCAGCTACAGCTGGAACGAGGATGAAGGCTTCTAGTGCTTATGGGTGCCCCAGGGGCATTTTGAGTTGCCCCAGTATTCATGGTCCTGGGAACCCATCCTCCCCCTGCCTGTCTCCCTCGTGCCTAGCTTTCTGTTACGTTTGCCATTTTTTCATTATCTGCGTGATCTCTATCAGGTGTGAGATCGGCACCCACACTATCAAACAGCACCCTTTTGCCTGGAGAAGGCCATGTAGAATTAAAGTGTATAATTTCAGTGCCACAAGGTAGGGCTCCGTGGGCTCTCAGCCATTTGTGGTGTTGGTGTTCTGTGGGCTGCACAGGTCAGGGTTCGTAATGTGTCACCCTGACACCTTCAGCTGGGGCTCTTCACTTCTTCCACTTGACCACATAGTGTTTGCATTTAAACTTGCCCTGGAAACAAATGAGACACGTGCGTGCACACAGGTGTACACATATACATCCGTATTTTTAAAGGAAAAAAACTGAAAATAAAGATGACTTGTCTGAGTCATAAAAGGTAGTGAGAGTTCAAAGACAATCTCATTTGAAAAACTCATAGGTTGGAACTCAAACCGTTTCCAAAAGAAAACTCTCTGAAGCACAGAAGACCAGGTAGGTGTTTGCTGCCCCTGACTTGCTGAGAACCTTGGGAGGTCTTACTGGGTTCTTGATACAGGCTGATCAGAGCCATGGGCTTGGAGCTGTCTTCTTCTTCATTGTTGCTTTTCTGGGTCTGTGTGGGGGTTTTCACTAGTTAGAATGATTCCTGCTGATTAGAATGGAGGGCATTCAGTTTTAATTAGAGGGAGGACATTTCATCTGACAACTTTTCCTAACTTGTCATGGTTAGAGGTCTTGTATCGTGGGGACTTCATGTGACCTAAAGGGAGCATTAATCTTTTTGGTCAGCGACTAGGAGTTTACTTACAGATATCACCACTTAGCTATTAGTGACCTAATGCACGCTTATCCTTTGCTGGTTTGTGGCTGTCAGACTCACTTGTTGGTTGGAGCATGAGAACCTCTGTGTGTGTGTGTGTGTGTGTGTGTGTGTGTGTGTGTGTGTGTGTGTGTGTCTTGGGGAGAAGGAGGTAGAGTTGTCAGCTAGTGGTTAGAAAGGTCTGGACCACCAGCATCTTAGTCCCATCCCTCTGTTATCCCCGAGGCCTTTATGACGCCCATTTTACAGAAATTCTAGCATGCCTTTTTCCAAGCTGGGCCACCATGCCCAGAGTGCTCGCACTTCTTCTATCTCTGACTCCTGGACCCCTCGCTCTCCTAGTGCCTCCTCCTCCAAGAGGCCCTGTCTGATTCTTTCAGCTGTTAGTATTAACCCTACCTCCCCCAGCCACTCGATCCTTCATAGGATTTTCCCAGAGTGTTTCTTTTCTAACCAGTGTGGCTCCTGGCTTCCAGCTTGTTCCACTTTGGCATTATGAGCTGTTTGAATTACACATTGAAGCTTGGTCTCATTTTTCTTCTTCTAATTTAATATTCATTTTGATCTTTACTTGAACAAGCGCATGTCTGATCTTAAACTGTCTGCTGAGTTAGTGTCAGCGCCCAGTCATTGCCTGTCTGCGCAGATAAACCCCGTTTCATTTTTGGGAATGGTCCAACCATTCCAGGAAGCTTTGGCTTCTCTGAAAGAAGGCTCTTCAGTGACAGAGGCTGGAGGCCTTGGTGCAGCTCACAAGCCTTTGGTGTCCCCTCTGATTTCTTAGTATGAAGCCATATTTTCTGACTTTGCTGCCATCCTCTCCATAACCTATCTTTGCATGAAAGTTGCTGAATCTTAAGCTTATGTTGCACCGATTTGTAAGGTCTTTGTAGAAATCCTCTTCATCTCCTTCTCCTCTGTAGCTTATGTCGCGGCATGTCAGCTGCCGTGTTTGAAGTGGCCTTTTAGTAGGTGCTGTGATGTAAGATGAGCCAGTGTCTCATGAGAAGATGTTTCTTGTTGCCTTCAGACTTCTTGTTGACCCATTTCTTTGCCTTTCCAAGGAGGATCTCTGCATCATCTTTTTCATGAGCTGTAGCTTCCTTTTACCTTCTGATTTCATTAGAATGGAAGTGTCAGTATTGCTATCATTCATTTCCTCCATTTGGTATGTCTGCTCATTGGACAAAGTTAGCACATTTTGAGGACTAGCAGGAAGCTGATGTCAATAGATTCTCTGTGCCCAGGACCTCACTCAAAGTCATTCTGCCATCACTTGAACTTTGCTGGCATAGTCGCTGAAAGTCCAGGATCACTTCCAGTTTGTGATGAGACATTGGGATAGGCCTTTGTGGTGGTGTAAGCCTATGGCATTTGATATCCCAGCTGCTCTTCCATTCAGGCACTTGAGCTTCCTCCTGCTAGTCCCTGGGGATTGGTACCTCACACAGCGCCAGGAAGATATCAAACACTTAATGAATGCTTGTTGAATTGGATTGGATGGAATCGAATATTTGTTGAGTTGATCAAAAAAGTTTGTGTGTGTTCAGAGGTGTGTCATAGACTCATAGAAAAGACTGCAGTAGCCTTGAGGCAGATTAAATCCCCTAGGCCTTGGTAATACTACCCATGCCAATCCTGGTAGGCGCAATCTAAGATGCTAGCAAAATAGTTCGTCTGTTTTAGCGTCTCTCCAAGTGATTTTTGTCATATTCATGTGACTGGATATTTCCTCTGCATATAGATTTCTTTGCTGGAAATCTACAAAATTCCTCAAAGTAAATTGTTGTCATCTGAAAAGGTATGGACTGTTTTAGATAGTGTTGCAAGATCAAACAGATTCACCTAGAGAGGCACCTTGTAATGTCCAAGGCTCATCACCACCTGCTGTGTTTGAATTCTGCTCTTTTGTTGTATTGAGTGACTAATGACTAGTGTTGTAATGAGATCCATACAAATCAGTTTGAATCTAAATTCTTCTCCCTGTTGCAGTTGATTTTTTAGTGAAGTTATTGGTAGCTTCAGGCTGCCAATCTTTCCTCTGCCCTAAACAGAGCACGCCAGGAATGAGTCTTCAGTCTGTGCCCCCTCTTGGGGAGGATGTTGACTAGTTGGAGCTCTTCCAGGGAGGTCAGCCAGGGTGATGCAAGCATCCCACTTGAAGATTGGCCAAAAGACTTGGGGATTTGTGTCCCGGAGAAGATGACTTGTCCGCTCGATTGCTTTTTGAGCATGAGATCGGAAGTGGAAAGGTCATGCGTGCCTTGCTTTGTGTTTCCAGTGTTAGCGCCCTGTTCAGGTGATGCCGTTGATGAAGGGCCATGGATCCTTGTGTATTTGAGGCACAACCAGAATGTTTGCAGTGGGTGAGGGAGGGGACCCCACCTTGTACCCTTGAGGCAGTCCTTAGCACGAATACCCTCTGTGTCTTGGTAAGCGGGGATCATTCTCTCTCCCACTACGTGTGATTGCCCGTGCTACCTCCAGCTGCTGCTTGTCCAGTTCTCCCTTGTTGAGGACACGTGAAGCAGAAATGGCTAGTCTTCCTTTCTTCATGCTGAGATTGAGCGGGCCCCTTTCTCGTTGACTTTTCCAGGTAATTAAGACAGATGACAGTGATAAAGGAGCTGATGCTGTGCCTGAGTCCGATGTCTCTGAGGAGCTGCTGGAGACTCCCCCTCCTCAGCTTGGAAGGAGGTGTGCTGGGGACAGCCCTGACATCATCCTGGAAGCTCAGCTTAATGACAGCGAGACTGAGGATGGCCAAGAACATGGGCCATGTGTGCCGGCTCATGGTGCCCAGGAGAAAGGTGAGGATCACCATCTTGTCATCCACTGGGAGGGCTTTTTAACTACTGTACCAATTTTTTTTTTCTCTGTGCTACAGCCTTAGAGTATATAGAGCTGAAATGGGACCTTCCTTACTTCCAAGGCCTGACAGGTGTTTGAGTGGTGGACATCTTGGGAATGATTTGGTGTATAGCTGCTGCTTTGAATCCTAACATCTTGGAGAAGGAAGGGCCCTCTGAGGTCATATGACCCCACTCTTAATAGAACCATGAATCTTTTCTATCATATCCCTGACTCCTTGCTGTTCCACCTCTGTTTGAAGACCTTCAACAATGGGGAACTCAGATCTTGCAGGAAGAGGGGTCATCTGGGCGATATTGTAGCCTACAGGGGTATTATTGTTGTTTTGTTTTTTAAGTTTGAAGTTTTCTATAAGAATTACAGTCTTGCTCTACAGTGAATGTAAAGCAGCAGCAAACCAGTTTTGAAAATTTCTTGAAAGTGCTGAGTGAAATGAGCAGAACCAAGAGGACTTTGTACACAATAACAGCCACATTATGCAATGACTAAGATTGTTAAACTGAACCTTTCTCAGCATTGTGAGGATCTAAGACATTTCCAGAGGCCTCGGGATGGATAATGCTGTTCACATTCAAAGAAAGAACTATGGAAGTCGAATAGCTCTCACTTATTTTTACCTTCTGTTGAGTTTTGTTTCCTCTTTCTGATGGTTCCTCGTATTGGTTTTAATTTTTACTTACAACTTCACTAATGTGAAAATATGTTTAATGGGTATGTAAATGTAAAGCCTATATCAGATTGTGCGCCGTCTTGGGGAGGGTGGGGGGGGGGAGGAAAAGGGAGAAAAATTTTCAACTCAAAAGCGTATGAAAAAAAATTTAAAAAATTAAAAAAAAAAAAGAAAATTCTTGAAGAAACTATAGGACAGATCTCCACAATTTGGCAGTAGGTAGAGGCCAAAATTAAAGTAGGCTAACCTTCTTCCGGCCACAGATAGGTTAGACCAGAAAGAGGCCAATGTTGGGTATTTGCTTTGGGCCACATGGCAAATAGGAGAGTGCACTGTGACAATCCTACGTTTTTCATGGGCCGACTGAGATCTGTTGGCAGGCCACAAGCAGCCCAGGGGATGTATGTTGTTCAGGCCTGCTATAGAAGAGCCATTTTCTTTTAAAAATGGAGTTTTCCACTACTTTTGTTTTGTTTTGTTTATGCTTTTTTTGGTGAGGCAATCAGGATTAAGTGACTTGTCCAGGGTCACACAGCTAATAAGTGTCAAGTGTCTGAGACTGGATTTAAACTCGGTTCCTCCTGACTCCAAGACTGGAGCTCTACCCACTGTGCCACCTAGCTGTCCCCACTACTGTGTGAATGCATACGTGTACTTTCCCTGCAAGCGTTCAGTGGGAGGGGCTCAGTGGGTGAGGAACGGACTTGGGCAGGTTTGTGTTCATTCTTCTGAGACCCTCATTAAGTCTTTGGAAGAAAATTCCCACATGGTGACCAAGGACTGTCAAAGGGGGTTTCTGTAGATCATTGAAAGGAGCTAACTGAGCAGGTGAGATACAGGTACGAGTGAAGGTAAAATGCAAGCAGCCTTCTGGTCAGACTGCTCAAGAACTGTCTGTGGGATGAGTGCACCTTCCAGCTGAAGCTCTTTATGTATGTCTCGCAGAGAGCTGGGTCAGGCCGTGGACTTGGTCCAGAAAGGAGTTCTGGCTCCGATCCCAGTTCGGGGGCAGAAGCGATACCTGCCAGTTAGCAAGGATGGAGGTTCAGTAGCTCTCTGAGGCATAGCTGGGGGAGGAGCATCACTGGCATCTGAGGGAAAACTGGAAGTGACGTGCCAGTCCTGGGCGTGTCTGGGGCGGGCCTGAGCAGGCTTTGGGTGATTTGTAGTGCTTGATGCCACTCGCTCAGAGTGAAGACAGTGGCAGGAGATCATTTTGAATGCGAATGCCACTGGCTTTCCCCCCCTTCGCCGAAACATTCTTTAGAGGGGTACGTAGTTTAAGTATTTATGTAATGTCTGGGCAGTTCCAGGGTATAGACCGTCTTCATGAGACTGGCTGTGGCCCTTCCTCAGAGCCCACTTCCCTTTGGCTGCTTGGAGTTGTTGTGTATCTTGGTCCCTTGCTTCTACTTACGTCAGTCTGCGTCACTTCAGAGAGCGCTCACCTTTTCTGACTCCATTCCTGTACCACTGCTTGTTCGCTCATCACCCAATCCCTGGGCACCTTTTTTTTTTTTTAAAGTTCTTTGCTCTGTTTTGGACAGTGATGGGGTGAATCACTTCTAGGTGACCGCCTCTAGAGCAGCCCTCATTCTGCTGTGGTTGCTGGGTTAGCGCACTTATTTCTGAAGGAGGCTCAGCTGTTCCCTTTTATTCCACCTGTTGACCACATTTCTTCCTCCCGTGGCTTCTCCTGCCTCTCCTCCATGTGCTTTCTGTCTCTTTCGCTGGCTTCTCCTCCTTTTTCGGGTCTTCTCTCAAGGCTCTCTTGTTGGGCTCCCCTTCTTGTTCCTCTGCTCTCTCTCTTTCCCTCTTCTTCCTTCAGAGGGATGACTCCCAAACCTGTATTGTGGCCTGTTTCCTCTTCCAAGCTCTGGATTCCCGCCCCGAAGTCCCAGACATCCCACACTCCACGTGCCATTTCCCTGGACACCGTCCTCCTCCTCACCTCACTAATCCTGTCTCTGGTGCCGTTATTCAGCACGTCTCTCACATTTCAGACGCCGGGGTTGTCTTTTCCTCTTCATCCTCGGACCCTCCGTCGGAGCCTTCCCTGCTCTCATCCAGTCCATTTGTCTTGTCTCGACTGCCTAGGGCTTCTGGTTTATTGTTCTCTTGAGCAGTTTTCAGTCTGCCAGTAGCTTTCTGCATATTTGTGGCTTGGGTCCTTGACTGGACTTCTCCTGACCTGTGGAAGAACAGGGGCGCTGTCCTGACGCCTCTTTGTTGCCTTTTACTGTGCTTAGCATGGTGCCTAGGACAGGCCCTTGAATATGGTATCGGTGGTTTCCTAGTCTTTGGGGGTTTTTGGGCAGAGATACTGGAACACTTGGCCATTTCCTTCTCCAGCTCATTTTATAGGTGAGGAAATTGAGGCCACGGAGTTAAGGGACTTGCCCAGGGTCACCCAGCTAGTAAGTGTCTGGGGCCAGATTTGAACTTAGGAAGAGGAGTCTTCCTGACTCCAGGCCCAGCTGTGCTCTAGGCACTATGGCACCCCCCTAGCAGCCCCTCAGACTATCTAAGTGCTCAGTAAATAAGTGTTCCTCTGCCCCCTTCCAGGCCCTCCAAAATGAAGTCTCGTATGCCAGATGACAAAGAGAAGTTGTTTGGCCTGTGTGTATGTGAACATACATCTAGAAATGAGAATTCCAAATGAATAATTTATCAGTCTAGAGTGGCAGAGGGAGAGAGATCGCTCATGTGTATTCTCAGTAAACACTATTAAGGGAAGGTTTCAGCTCTTATGAAATGCCTTGCTCTGTCTCCCTCGGTGGTTTCCGGCTTCGTGAAATCACCCAAGCACTTCAGCATGTTGTCTGTTATCTTGACCCCCTTAGGGCACCACGCCCAGTAGGCAGGCGAGCTGTGGTGGTCCTGAGATGGAACCGGCTATTTTATGACTTCCCAGCCTCAGGGAGATGAATGACAACTGAGCTCCCAGGAGGATGGGGACGTGCAGATTCTTGTTTCTTCACTGAGTTTGTCCTTTGGATAGTTGGTTTCAGATTGTATTCCATTTTTTTTGTTTTAGGTGGTTTGATTGCTTCTGAGAAAGGCAGTTAGCATCTGTCTTGGTGAAGGCGTAGATACTGAAACCCTAGTGAAGAATGCCTCTTACCTAGGTAGGGAAGGGAAGGCAGTACTGGGAGTGGTGTACTTAGACCAGAATCTCTGGGCCTCAGTTTCCTAGGGAATTAGAGTAGAAGGTCCCTTCTAGCTTTAAATCCTATGACCTAGGGTCTAAACAGATTATTTCAGAATCCAGTCTTATGAGTAGCTACTCTTCTTTCTATTCCCCTGAGTCTTTATGGTCACCAAGAGACACACTATAATCAGAATTCCTCTGGGATCCTTGTGTCCTTAGAAATTCGCAGACAATACCTTTCTTCCCTTGGACAAATTAATGAGGCGCTGGTCCCCAGGAGGAGAGCAGTAAGTATAGCTAGCAAGCACTTACTGAATGCTTCCTGTGTGTCAGGCACGGTGCTAAGAGCTGAGGATTCAAAGAAAGGCAAAAGCAAAATTTGTAGGATGCCAGAAACTGGAGGGATACCGAGGCACAGAATCCTAGGGTCTGGGAAGGAACCTTTCCCACCTGGCTCCAGGAAACCTTGTTGTTCTGAAAGGCCCTCTCAGCCGGGGGCCTCCCACCTCATTGGCAGGCTCTGCCCCCCTGTGTGAAGGCAGGATCAGCCCCCTCAGAGCCATCTCCTCACTTCCCACATTGCTGTCCTCTTGTGGGGCTTCTCTGCTTCTGTGGCAGAGGATCAAATGTGAGCTCACTGTGCTCCGTCATGTATGTACCTAGTCTCTTCTGCTGATCGAGCTCCCTGTACCAAACTGTTTTCACAGTTACAGGTTTTGCATGTAGGTTGAGATCTGATACTGACAGGCCCCCTTCCTTCCCATGTTAAAAATTGATTTCCTTGATATTCTCTTGTTTTGTTTTGTTTTGTTTTGTTTTTTTGGTGAGGCAGTTGGGGTTAAGGGTCACATGGCTAGTAAGTATCATGCGTCTGAGGCCAGATTTGAACTCAGGTCCTCCTGACTCCAAGGCCAGTGCTCTATCCACTGTGCTGTCTAGCTACCTACCCCCTCCCTTGATATTCTTGATGTTTTGTTTTTGCAGTGAATTTTTAAATTTTTTTGCCCTAGCTCTATGAAGTAACACTTTGGTAATTTGATTGATATGGCACTGAATTAATATATTAATTTAGGTAGTGTTATCATTTTTATTATATTGGCTTGGTCTACCAATGAGCA